TTTTCACTTCCTGCATTAGTATGCTTAGAATAATGGGCTCTAGCTCCATCAATGTTGCTGCAGGAGACATGATCCCATTCTTTTTAATGGCTGTATAGTATTCCATGGTGTATATGTACCACATTCTCTTTATCCAGTCTACTGTTGATGAGCATTTAGGTTGATTCTATGTCTTTGCTGTTGTGAATGATGCTGCCATGAACATATCTGTGCCTGTGTCTTTATGGTAGAATGATGTATATTTCTTTGGGTGTATACTCAATAATGGGATTGCTGGCCGGGCGTGGTGGCTCACGCCTGTAATCCCAGCACTTTGGGAGGCCGAGGTGGGTGGATCACAAGGTCAGGAGATCCAGACCATGGTGAAACCCCGTCTCTACTAAAAATAGAAAAAATTAGCCGGGCGCAGGGGCGGGCGCCTGTAGTCCCAGCTACTCGGGAGGCTGAGGCAGGAGAATGGCGTGAACCCGGGAGGCGGAGCTTGCAGTGAGCCGAGATTGCGCCACTGCACTCCAGCCTGGGCGACAGAGTGAGACTCCGTTTCAAAAAAAAAAAAAAAAAAAAAAAAAAAAAAAAAAAAAAAAATAATGGGATTGCTGTGTTGAATGGTAATTCTGCTTTGAGTTCTTTGAGAAATCGCCAAACTGCTTTGCACAATGGCTGAGCTCATTACATTCCCACCAGCAGTATATAAATGATCCCTTTCTTCGCAACCTTGCTAGCATCTGTTATTTATTGACTTTTTAATAAAAGCCATTCTGACTGGTGTTAGATTGTTATCTCATTCTGGTTTTATTTTGCATTTCTCTAATGATTAGTGATGTTGAGCACTTTTTCATATTCTTCTTGGTTTGGCTGTGTGTATGTCTTCTTTTGAGAAGTGTCTGTTCTTGTCCCTTGCCCACTTTTTAACGGGGTTGTTCACTTTTTGTTGTTGATTTAAGTTCCTTATACATGCTGGATATTAGATCATTGTCAGATGCATAGTTTGCAAGTATTTTCTCCCATTCTGTGGGTTGCCGTTCACTCTGTTGGTAGTTTCTTTTGCTGTGCAGAGGTCTTTAGTTGAATTAGGTACCAATTGTCAATTCTTATTTTTGTTGCAATTGCTTTTGGCATCTTCATCATCTTTGCTAGGTCCTATGTCAAGAATGGTATTGCCTAGGTTGTCTCCCAGGGGTTTTATGGTTTTCATAATTACATTTAAGTCTTTAATCCATCTTGAGTTGATTTTTGTATATGGTATAAGGAAGAGGTCCAGTTTCAATCTTCTACCTATGGCTAATCAGTTATCCCAGCACCGCTTCTTAAATGGGGAGTTATTTCCCCGTTGTTTATTTTTGTCAACTTTGTCAAAGATCAGATGGTTGTAGGTGTCCAGCATTATTTATATTCTGTTCCATTGGTCTATGTGTCTGTTTTGTGCCAGTACCATGCTGTTTTGATTACTGTAGCCTTGTAATATAGTTTGCAGTTGGGTAATGTGGTATCTTCAGCTTTGTTCTTTTTGTTTAAGAATACTTTAGCTATTTAGGCTCTTTTTTGGTTCCATATTAATTTTAAATATTTTTTTCTAATTTTAAGTATGGGTGGAGTCATTGGAGAAGCCCAAGAAGCAGCCTCTTTTAGCCCACACTCCTTCTGGTTTCAATTTGAAGAGCTACTGTCCTATCTGCTGCAGTGCACTGGGGTGCAGGGGCAAGCAGCAAGGGATGACCCCCCCCCAAGTTCATTCCTGGGCATTGGTGGTGCCCACTTTCAGCAGCTGGTGCTGTGCTCATGTTTTCTCTGACCCAGTGCTTCAGTGGGCTGCACTCCACCCCCTTCTTAAGGGTAATCTGCACTGAGGGTTAGATCCCCAGGAAAGAGGGGACACCTTCTTCGCACTCCTTAGAGCTGGTGGAGCACTGTCCCCCAGCTGACCAAGAGAACAGGCTGGGCACCCAGCAATGGCACACGGAGACCATTTCCAAGTCATAAAGCTGAGTCTGGCTGCAAGCCTCACTGACCAGGAGAAACCTTGTCTTCAGCAATTCGCCTCCTGCTCCAGTCCTGCGATGGGAGAGAACCTAATTTCAGTACCTACTGCTAGGGCACTCTCCATACTTGCCACTCAGTTCTGGACATGGGAGCCCTTCCCCTGCTCCAGGGCAAGTTCTCCAATCTCTGACCTTAGATGAAAATGCCTGCATGACTGCCACTGCCAGGTCTCCAAGTGATGACTGTATATGAACCTGGATTAAAAATGGCATCCTTTTCTCAGTCTCAGGTCTTGGAGAATGCCTGCTGCTTTTCCTGATGTCTTTCCCTCTCTTCATCTCTCAGCCTTTCCCCAAGTTAGCTCCAGAAATTGGGAGAAACAGGGTGCTCTCCCTTGGCCTGGGTTGTATAGAACCTTAGTGAAAAGGTGAGTCACAGAGGGTAACTGACAGTTCCTCTCACATACCGGGGCTTCACTCACTTTTATCAGCCAAATGTTATCATGGGGTTGCTTGCCCACTTTATCCTACCCAGGGTCTTGGGTGTTCTTTGCTATTTCAGTGAATTCCCATTTTCTTTCCTGAATCAAAGCTCATAGAGTTGATCTTTATGTACTATTTTGATATTTCCAAGTGGCTGAGGCATGCTGAAAGCCTCTAATCCACAGTCTTGGAAAAACTGATTCTCCTATTAATATTTAAAAAATTCTCAGTCACTATATTTTTGATTATGCCTCCTTTATTCTTTTTATCGTATATTCCTGGAATTCTGATTAAATATTTGTTACATTTCCCATTCTCAATTTATTTTTCTTAACCTCCCTCTCAGAGTTCCACCTTTTGTCTCTCTCTGTGCTGTATTCTCATTAATGTGTTGGAATGTGTCTTCCAGTTCACACACTTTATTTTTTGGTTTGCATAATGTGCTATTTAATCTATTATGGTTTTAATTTAAATTAGTATACTTTTCACTGCTAAAATTTCTGATACCTTTTTAGTTCTCTTTGGTTACTTTTCACAGTTTGTTATTTGTATTTGTTTTGTATTGTTGCTTTAACAAATTCTACAAATATATAGGCTGAAAATAAAACTCATTATTATCTTAAAGTTCTGTAGATTTGAAGTTCAGAACAAGTTTCGTGGGACTAAAATTATAGTGTCTTCAGGGCTTCATTTCTTATTGGAGACTCTTAGGTTGAATCTGCTCCCAGGCTCATGAAGGTTGTTGGCAGAATTCAGTCACATGCAACTGTAGGAGTGAGGTCCCTGTCTCCTTGCTGGGTTTCAGCTAGGGGTCATTCTCAACTTCTAGAGGCTTCCTGCACACCCTGGCTTGCAGTCCCTTTTATCTTCAAAGCCAGCAATTGTGGTTTGAGCCTTCTTATGCATCACATCTCTCTGACTTCTCATTGTGTTTCATCTTGCCCATCTGACTCTTCTGTCATCTTCATTTGCTTTTAAGTGCTCATTTGGTCACATTGTGCACACCTGTATAATTTAGGATAATCTCTCTATTTTAATGTTAGCTGATTAGTAACCTTAATCACATCGGTAAAGTCCCTTTACAGCAGTACGTATGTTAGTGTTTGATTGAATAACCACTAGACAGAAATCTTAGGGGTACCTTTTTAGAATTCTGTTTACCATATGTATGTTTCCAAACATTATACATCCTCATTTTATATTCTATATTTGATAATTGTAATATCTGTTGCCCTTGTAACTTGGATCTCTTTCTTTTGGTTATCTTGGCTCCTGCACATTGTGCATTATGTTCTGATATAATTCGTAAGTTTTGATTAAAATCTCACATGAAGTTTAGCCTTAGTAGTTTTTTAAGCCCCTGATTGAAAAAGGTCATCCTTCTTTTCCCAGGTACTTGAGAATACTACCAACTCAAAATTGTTTTAAAATAGGGTTTCAGATTAATTCCAACTCTTTCCCCTGCTCTGTTATCTGCCCTGCCCCCAACACACACATTGGTATTGAGACTTTAGGCTTCCTCCACCTAGTGTGTAAACCAAAATATGAAAGTTCTCCTGATATTTTCCTCTATGTGGTGAGATTTTTCCCTAATTCACACTCTCACTAAGAATATAGTCCTTTGGGATCCTAACCCTACATTGGTTTCCATCCAGCCTTAACTTGGTTAGACCCTAGCTTTGTCTTCTATGCCTATGAACCCATTAAGCGATCTTTAGGGATCAGCAGTTACCACCTTCAGTTCTTGCTTAAATCTCTGGATTCTTGTTTGTGCTTCATCTTTCTCTTCTGAGGACTTCCAATTTTTCTTGTAGACACAATTGTGTTATCCAGTATTTCTTATTATTTAGCTTCAGAAAGATCCCACCCCGTATCTGTACCACTATACTATCAGTAAGAAACTTCCCTTTATTTCTTTTTTAAAACCCTGTTTTTTTTCTTTCCAGACAAATATAGATTCCCATATTTGGAAAAACCTTTTAATTTCTGCCTCCCTTATATGTTATTTTTACTGTTTACTTCTTGATTAATATGGTCTTGCCTCTATAATGGGGGCCTGGGATTTTGGTATTGCATTCCCAAAACTTACCTAGTAAGTTTTTACTGAACAATTTGATTCATCTAGAAATAACATGATTAATACTGCCCTGGAGTAATAATTTTAACTATTTCATTTTTTAGATTATGCTAGAATAATAAAACTGACACTGTTTGTTCAGCTTTACTCTAGCATTCCTAATCCAATCCTTGCCCTACTAAAATTTTTTCATTTGGTAAAATCCACATACTCAAGCAAAAATAAAATTCATTAACTAAACCAATAAAATTTTAGAACAGAAATGCCATCACAAAGACTCTTATATTTAGCCATGATAGAGATACAGTAATATATCTAATACTCCTTGACACATAATAATACATGGTACACATGTCAAGATACAATCAACGTGCCATGATATCGTTTTGTCAGTATTTGCTAATAATATTCATTAGTACTACTGTCTAAAATTATGTACCTCCCAGGCTGGAAAAAGAAAGCTTTGGACACCATGGTGAAAATATTGCACACATCTGAGAGAAAAGAAGTCTGAACTGTAGAGATGCTGACTTGTACAGCAGCAGTTGAGGTGAGTGAAAGATATACATATGCCAGTGCAGCCTTCCAAATGCCTGTATGAACAGACAGTAAGTAGGCACTTAGTACAATTGCTGCTATTATCTAGACAAGATCCAATCCTAAGGAAGATGTTGAAATTCAAAGTGACAAAGATTTCTAGTTAACCTCTAAGTAATGATTAAGATAATGACAAAAACACTATCTACCATAGAGTGGCAGGACAAAGGATTTTTGATCATCTGTTTAGAATTGCTTCTGGAAACTTTCAAAGACAGTATGCAACTCTCAAAATAAAAGAACTTGACAACTTTAATGTAAATGGAACAAATGTGAAATGGGTCATTTAAGTTATTTTTGATATGTCAAACATAAAGCTGTGGTAAGAGAACTATACCACTCAATTGAACAAATTTTCACTAAGTATTATTTTTCATATACTCAGCTGGCAGCTGTTGGAAGTAATTCATTAAAGTTATCCAAGCTGAAATGTTTACATTATTTTATTGAGACCAAAACTTATTATAATTTGAAAAGTCATTTTATTTTTTCATAATAAAAATGCATCCATGATCTGACGCAATTCAGCAGTGATAAATTGAATGACTAGAAAAAAGCAGAAATGTAATAAATACTGCAGATTATAAATACATGTGTAAAATATAAAGGAACAAGTGAATAGAATAAACATAGAAGAGTTATACAAAGCAGCAATATTATAATTTAAGCTTTACATGGACAAATTTTTCTTTGAAAAAATGATTAATTTTTTGCATTGGCCCATTAATAAATATAGATACATAATGAACATGGACAATTAATAATGTATATGTTAAAAAGAAATATTATTTTAAAAACCCTCTTTACTATATTTAGTTTCAAGAATAAGTTTGTAAATAATCTTATTTGAATAAAAAATGACAAGGTCAGTAACATCTAGAAAGTGCCAATGAAGATTAAAAATAGCAAAGGTTTATTTTTTGCTTTGTCTTTCATTGTATTTTTAGTGTGAGAATTGCTATGATATAACATCTGCATCTTTTGCTAACTGTGCACATTACTCTGTTTTTGATCATTTTTCCTTTAGGTGAATTTTGGAATGCCAATAGCACTTACTATTTTAAAAATTTATTTATTGATATAGAATATTTGTACATATTTTGGGGGTGTATATGATATTTTGATACCTGTATACAATGTGTAATGGTCACATCAGGGTAATTGGAAACTCACTCTTTTTCACATTCTGACTTCTAGAAGACTATTCTTATCCTACTTTTGTTTAAATGTTTAGTTTTTTTCTTTTTGATTTGCTCTTAAATGATTTATTTATCTCTTTTGTAATATGTCAGCAGTTTTCATTCTTATTCTTTTTTTCCTTATTTTTTTCCTTTTTTCATTGCACTGTTTACATAATGGAGTTATGTGATTTTTCTATGTCTGTATACACAGTGATAATTCATTTAGATTTCTACATCTCTTTATTTTTAACATATGACATTATGCATTTCTGAACTAAGATAAACACTTAAGCAAAGTTGTTACTCATATACAAAACTGTGTTAATAGTTTTATAGTGTTTAGTTTTCCTTTCTAACAATACTGTATTAATAGTGCAAATCATAGCAAGACTTATCCATAGCTCTACAAAATGAATTTCTCAGTGTGCCAATATCATAAAAGTATGAATTATATTACTCTAACTGTAGAGTTCAGTAGAAATAAATCTTATCTATAAGTTTTCTGTTATTTAGTATATTCAGCCATAATTTTGGAATTACTGCTTCAATCTCAACTTTCATATTACATGTATATATTAAGAATAATCCAATTGGATTTTTTAAATGAGGAAGTGCACATATCATTTAGATTAAACTTTTCTCTGTGTCACCAGATGACCATGGCTTTGATTTCTCAGCAAATTCTCTTGAACAACACTGCAGAAATGATTTATCCAAGTACTGAATTAACTTGTATATCTTATTTTCTATTTTTAGTTCCATGGGAAGTTTCTGAAATAATAAATTGCATTTAAAATGTTACATTGAATTCCAGCTGTAAGATGAAACAAATGCTCTAATCTCTTTAAAGGTCAAGTTATAAATTATTCTTATGATGAAGCAAGTTGCAGATGGTTCATGAGCAAAATCTCAAACGTGGGCTTCTTGATGAAGGCACATAGATGGTCTTTAGTTGCACCACAATAACAAATATTGACTCTGAGTTATAACAGCAGGTTTCCGGTATTCATGGGAATTGCAGCAGCTATACCATAACTGATTTAAATTTGTGTCATTAGTTATTTACAGCCACATTTTACAGTCAATTATTAATGCCTTCCAGAAACTACCACAAGATAGTCAGAACTTTTGTGCTTATTATGGCATGGTCTCATTACTCATAGCAGGAGCCCACGAAGGGTAAGTGTAGAGGTCAAACATGGGTACAATCCAGGTACATATGCCAAGCATAACCACAGCAACACCAACAATGTTGACACCAAGTCCAGCTTTAACCTTGAACAGGAAAAAGCATAAATGTCAGTGTCCCAAAAGAAAGCCTACAGGAGATTAGAATCCTGTTGTAGAAAGTATATGCTGGATTTACATGCATCCTAAATGATTAGTAAAAATTGCCATTTTTAAAAAATTGTACTTTAAGTTCTAGGGTACATGTGCAAAACGTGCAGGTTTGTTACATATGTATACACGTGCCATGTTGGTGTGTTGCACCCATTAACTCATCATTTCTTAAATCCAGGGGTTCTTCTCCATTCATAGCAAGAGAAAAATCTGTCCCTAACTAAACATCATTGAGTTGAAGACTCTCAGAGAAGTTCCTCTTAGGAATATACCTAAGTAATTCTGATTAGAGGAAAATCGCTTAGAAATCTGCCATTTCATGTTAAATCAGAATTTCAGTTTTGTGGTTTTATATTTCAATGAATAAGATTCAGGACACCATATGACAACTGTATCTTTTATATTTGCTCAACATGATTATTAATTTAACCTTAATATCTTTCTTAGCGTTCTCATGGTTTTAGCTCTTATATCATTATTCTACAGTCCATTAAACAATCTCAGAGTTGCTTTGTATCTATTAAAATAAAAATTGGCAAACTACTGCCCTTGATTTGTTTTGGTAAATAAAGTTTTATTGGACTACAACTATGCTTATTTGTTTACATATTTTCTTTGCTTTCATGATACAATGGCAGAGTTGAGTAGTTGTGACAGAGATGGCCCCACAGAGCCTCAAATATCATCTGCCCTTTTACAGAGAGAATGTGCTTACTCCTGCATTCTCTGCATTAAAACATGGAACTCTGAAGCCAAAGAGGAATACCGAGCAAGGATGATAACAGATGCCCTCTTCCCTGTCCATGCAAGCCAGCCACTTGTTTATCTCAGAATCCTAGTTTTATCCTTTTTAATACACATACATCCGGCATTACTTATATTGTATTGTGCACATTTTCCTTACCAAATGGATATTATGTTATTTTTGTGTACAGGCAGTTCTAGAATGTTTATGTTGCAGGGGCTTAGGAACAGCGGTCTGTGTGAAAGAAAGGGAGCTGGGATTTGCCTTGAAACTGTATTTTGCATAGGAAGCTCACTGAATTTACTTTGGCTATATTATCGTTTGGGTTGGTTTGGAAATAGGTGATGAAGATGTGGAAACTACTAGAATATTCTCAAGCCAGTTTTTATAAAGTACTGAATATTCTGCAAGTATTTTTGTATCTGGCAAAAATGTGCATGCTTTATCAGTGAAATTCTTCATTATTGTTTGCTTGTGTTTTCATGTTAGGTCCTGGTATTGAAATCAAAACAAGAAAGATACTTTTTCATCAGTCAGGCACTGACCCCGTGTCTCATTCAGAGGAAATGTTGGTCGCATAAATGTTTGTGATAGCAAACTACAGTGTTGTTTTGGTTGCTGGATTTCTTTAACCCTGTTTCTTCCTTTTGCCTAGATCAGTTTGGATCCTAGTGTTGACTTGTAAGTTTACGCTGTCGTGTGGAGCATGTTCAGTGCTCTTTTCCTTCTTCCAAAGCATTACTGATGCTTTCAACATCTCTCTGTTTGTGACCATAAATTTTAATGGCATGTTCACTTCTGATTATCACTCTTGAAAATAATTCTGTGATTAGTCATGCACACCCCTTCATAAACAGAACTCAGGCCATGCTTTTCCTGGTGGTTGACTGGTGTTTAAAAGGGAAGATAACTCAAGACATGGCACACACCAAGATGTGTGTTGGTTCTGATAGTATTTTTTCAGCTAACTCACCATGTCAATGACTTTCAGATGACCATATGAAAAGACAATAGCATTGGGTGGATTTGCTACTGGTAGGAGGAATGCAAACGAAGTACATAGAGTAGAAGGTATCAGAATATAAAGAGGGTTCACGTGAATGGCTTCAGCCTGTTGTAAGAGATAAAAAGGAGTCTGAGTAAAATTTTGAAGGTAGACACCAAACATAAAAAAATGAACAAATGTATTACAATAAGCCTTCCCAGAAGCAGGTTGAAACATAATGACATAAAATTATACACATTATTGCAGTTATAACTTGAAGAATATTTTTAAGAAAATACCTCATCCTCTTATTGTTTGTATAGTTATGGATGCCCACTTAAACATTATAGTCCAGTTCATTTAGAAAATAAAATATTATTTATTCCAGAAACTAAATAAAAAGAGCAATCATTTATTACTTATCTACTGCTAGGTGCTGTGCTAAATGTTTACATACATGTATATATTCATATAGTTACACATAATATAGTTCATATATAATACAAAATATAATAAATGTCATATATATTCAATTTTTACAATGATCTTATGAGATGGTTACTATAACCTCAAATAACATAAAGAAATGGAGGCCCAGAGAGGCTAAAGTAACTTGTCCGAGCATGCAGCTGGTGAGCAACAGAGCTCAAATAGGTTCTCAAGTCCCTGTGGCTCTAGCACTTCTCATTACACTACTAACTTTACTGCCTCTGTGATATATGCAGTTCAAGATTTGCTTAGGCATCATCACATAGGAAGGTTACTACCATTCTTAAATCAACACATAATTTTCTAATTCTTCCATGTTAAGAACAATTAGAAAAAACAACAGAAAAAAATACAAAATGATATTGTACCAATATTCACAGCCTACATGTTTTCTACTTTCAATCTGCAGCTTAAGAACACCAACATATGCCCTTTGAGCTTGTAGTGGCACAATTCCAGAAAGACAATTCTTCTTAATTTAAAGTGCTTTCCTTTCACCAAACCCATCCATCCCAATAAGAAAAACATTTTACTTAAAGCTGTTTCTTGTAATTGCTACCTAAATGGAGAAAAGAAGAAAAGACATTCTTTCCCTCTCTCTCTCTCTCGGCAAACCCCTTACTTTTAAAAAAAATTATTCCCTGGGCAGTAGAAAACTGTGTCTAAAGATATTTAAGCCTGAAGCCTGAAGTGTGAGCCTAGTTTTTCATTCATTTGCAAATCACTTATATTAACCACTTCTCAGAAATTTAGGAACAATGTTTGAGAGGCAAAAGTGTCAGTGGTAGAGATCTAAATACTTAAGTTACCAGCAAACACTGAATTCCACGTCTTATATCTGAAATGGATCTTGTCTGACCGTCTCTCTTATTTATAAAGGAAAAAACTGGACTGAGAAAAAGTAACATCACGCTGCTTGAACATGAAAACTTAAAAACAGTTACCTAGAGTGAAGGTCCTCTGAAAACATTAATACAAATAAAGATCACCCTATAAGTTACTTACAGGAGGCCCATTTAGATAAAAAAAGATTCCATATCACAGCCTGAGAACCAGCATTCCAAAGCAGAACACTGCTCTTAATGAAGAGTAAGGCCGGGCGCGGGGGCTCAAGCCTGTAATCCCAGCACTTTGGGAGGCCGAGACGGGCGGATCACGAGGTCAGGAGATCGAGACCATCCTGGCTAACACGGTGAAACCCCGTCTCTACTAAAAAATACAAAAAACTAGCCGGGTATGGTGGCGGGTGCCTGTAGTCCCAGCTACTTGGGAGGCTGAGGCAGGAGAATGGCGTGAACCCGGGAGGCGGAGCTTGCAATGAGCTGAGATCCGGCCATTGCACTCCAGCCTGGGCAGCAGAGCGAGACTCCATCTCAAAAAAAAAAAAAAAAAAATGAAGAGTAAAAATGGGAATAAATGAGATACTCACCAATGGAGATAATATTGGGAGAAGGAGTGTAATGGTAGCTGGATTGCTGGCTACCTCAGTTAAAGATGTGACCATTAAAGAAGATATCAGAATTATTAGCCATACTGGTAATGAACCCAGAGGAGATAATTTATTTCCTATCCAATTAGATAATCCGGACTCCTAAAAAACAAATTTGCAATATTTGTTATTCATGAATAATTCTTTGTAATCAGACACAATAAAATCCATAAAAAGCATTATTTGCTTTGAAAACTCACTTTCTAAAATATAATTTTAATCTCTCATTTTTCTGTGGTTTGATAGGTCTGGGTGGCTTTGGTAGGAAGGAGCTATTGCTCAGTCTTATTTTAACACTATGAACGTGGTTTAGGTTTGAAATGTAGTCCCACTTTTTTCAATTACATTTTAATTTTATCTAATTTATATATGTGGATATTTTAATAGATCATATAGAGGGCTTTAAGAGAAGAGCAGGCCTTCTGATTTACCTCTCTCTATTCCTAAGTTATATTCTGCAGAGGCGACAACCTTCAACCCTTATTAGCCATTTATAACTAGCTATATTTAGGTATTCATAGTTACCTTTTAAAATAATATTTTAATTATGATTTTTTGCTTACTTTTAAAATTTAGACATTATTTGCTGACTTTCTAATATGTGATAATTCAGCTCTCTTACACCATCCACCAAACACATATTTTTTGTTTCTTCATTCCTCCACACTCACATATTAACATTTTTGGTTAAATCAATATTTAATGTTTACCACTATGATTAAATAAATATTGTTCATAGCTATACCACTTAGCATACTATCAGTACATTTACTCTACTCTTCCTTCCCCACAAGAAATAACTATCTCATCATTCTATTTGCTTAGTTTTCCAAGTACCTATCACTAATTCATCTGAAATTAAAACTAAAAAACTCCCCACAAATAGATAAACATATCAGGTAATTGGTGTCATTTCATGTTCCCTCATAGCAATATCTATTCTGGAATATTTCCTCCTCCTGCTCCATTTGGCTTAGTTTAATCTTTAAATCTATTCTTTAAATCCCTTTAAATCTATTCTTTAAAACCCTTTAAATCTATTCAACTGTTGTTGTTCTGGGACCCCTCTTTATTATCATATTATGACTTTCCTTCTCCTCCCCACTTTGTGGGAATCATTTTTTAATCTACTCTTTTGCATTGGGGAAGCATTTCCTTTTATAACTTCCTGAGAATTGGTATAAGAGTCTTTGCATGCTGAAAACCTTTTGCTTTTCTTTTCCCACTGTTCTTATTGTTTTGCATTTGTAGAATTCTAGGTTCAAAATAATTATAACTCCACACTTTTAAGCCATTACTCCATTTCCTGTGGTTTCCAGTTGGATTCTTTAGAAGCCTGATCATATTCTACTCTTCGATTCATTATACATAGTGCAGAAAAACTGGCTATACTCAGATTAGCAAGTATGTTGGTCTGTGTTTCTCCCTACATAGAAGGGAAAATCCTCCTTTTGTGAAATTTCAATGAGCTATTGCATGTATGAATCTTTATGACAACTAGAAGTGGCATAAGAAATACTCTAATTACGAGCAGTATATTCTCAGATCAAAAGCTGGCACAGAAATTCCCAGATGTGAGTACCAGATATCATGCGTGGTTTTGGCTTGTATTTTTGTTTATCTGCTTGTTTTTGCCTATGATTTTTAGGTAGAAAAAGATTATCCACCATTTTAGTCACATTGACAAAAATTAATCCTAGAATAGGTATACTTTAAGAATAGGTTTTATCTATGTCTAATGAGATGTGGAAATGATTATACTACATATTGTTTCCCCTACCTGTAGGCCACTGAAATCGTATCTTCATCCCCACGGTTCCAAAATTCTACATAAAGTGCTTTGGTGTTGGGTACTTAGTAGCTCTCTCAGTCCAGAATCTCAAAGTCTCTAGCTCTAAGAAATTTCTTTTGTTATTTTGTGGAAATGTTCTTCCTTTCTATTTTTTTTCTCTTTTTTATGAAATGCCTATTAGTTGACTGTTGAACATTTTGGATTGATGTTCTAATGTTCTTATCTCTTTGTGAGCCAGTGTCTCATTGACTCAATTTTGCTACAAAGTAAATCTCAATTTTCTATAAGGGAGGATAGAGAACAACAGCAGGACTGGGGAAAGTATCTGGGAGGCCCATAGATTTTTATACACTTTTTAAGCCATCCTCCAAATTCAGCTCTGGCTTTTACTCTAGCTTTCAGAGTTATTTGTTGCCTCCAATTCCTGAGGTCTGCCAGGATGGTACAGATAACCAGCATGTTTCTTGTTGGCTCTTTGTTTTGCCAGGCTGTATGTTTCATATTTCACTATTTTTCTATTTGTACAAAGTCAGTTCCTCTCAAATGTCCTCTTTCCATGTTCTAAATATGATCAACATTTCTTGCCTTTTCTTATCCCTGTCATATAGTCTTTATGGATTGACATGTTTTTGTTGTTATTGCAATGTTAGCGGATATCTGAAATAAAAAATAAATCTTTCATGTTTAACCTAGGAGAGAAAATTTTAGGAATGTATGGAAATTGAAGAGCAGATATTCACTGATAAGAATTTGAAATTGTCTATCTGCTCATGAGAAAGAAATCATGTTAAAACAAAAACCAAGGGGCATTTAAGAGAAAAGTAATTTCAATGAGGTGAATTCCACAGTAGTTGCTGTTTCACTGTTCTGTTCCCAACTAGAAAGGTTATCTGGTTCTGGACACTTGCCAGACTAATTACAATTTGGAATAAAAGTTTTGAAAAATAATTGCCTCCAAATTTTTTACAGTCCAGTTTTTAGGGGGATATTTGTCCACAGCCATACCCTTGAAGCTCATGGCTTCAATCTGGCCACTTAGAGGCAGAGTTATACCGGGTATCCTGTAGACATTTGGCTCTGTATACGGAGATTTTTATAGCAAACTAGACCTCCCTCTCTGGATTCTCAAATTCTTCTACTGAGAGAACCTTGTGCATCAGACTGAGTCCACACCTTTTCATTTCCTCAGATTTGTATGCTAGGGTCTGGCTGATGCTTTCAAAATCACTTTGAGTGTCTAGGATCCAATCCAGACACATAATTCTGTGCTGAAAAATTGTCAATAAAATTAGAAGCACAGGAGTATTTTCCAGTAAGTTACTCCTCTTCTTCAGGAAGAAGAGGAGAGACAGTGATTTGTCTTGAGAAGCATAGAAATTTAACCTCCTGGGAGTCAAAGGGCTGAACATGGAACCTCTCTCACCATTCTGTTCAATTTGATGACTGAGGAAGGAAATGGAAGAGCCATAAGCTTTGAATATTTCAAATAAGTCTATGGAAACCAGAATGAGTCATTTTTAATTAATCTAGGAGTAATCAATTTTCATGGAATTTTGGGAGAAGATAATTTTCTTCCAACAACTCTACAAAGACCAGGGCAATTACGAGGGATGAGGGCCTTCTCAAACTGCTGCTTTGTATCAGCTGGATAGATAGGTCAAATAAAGTCAACCAACATCTCATGGTGTTTTTATTTCTTCCTAAGATTAGATGTAATATAATGTTAGAAAGGGTTATGTGAATTTTTCTCCAGACTTTATTCAATAAACATTTACTAAGTATCTTTAATGCTAATATTATTTCTAATTCTCTTTTTTATTTAACAGCAAATAGCATCATGATATACTGAAGTCCAAGAGCTACTCAAATTCATCATGAAATAAGGTAAAGGCATAAGCAAACAAAAAGTATATTTCATTAGGAGTCACTTTACATATTTTCATATACATTTTTCCTTACTAGTCTTCTAATACTATTTCATAAATTTAAAATTTTAATCTTTTTTTTATTATTTCTTTTGACATTCTTGAGCACCATAAAAACTATGTTTTTTGCTTGCAGCCTGTAACATTTCTTGAACTCTGAACTCACCTCATTTGTGTGGTATATTCACGGCATAGCTAGCAAAATTTGCAACATTAAAATGACAGAGTGAAATTGAATATGCCCAAAGATTGAATGTCTCTGTGCTCTTCTTTTGAACAGTCTAGTTAATTGTTAAATATCTTACACACAGAGTATTACCTCACAGCCATCTGCCAGGGCAAACCCTCCACCAACAAGAATGGCTATATCCCAGGGCATGAATGACTGGAATTCTTTCCAAGTAATCAGTGGAGAGTAATCAAAAGCAACTGCAAAACAAAAATCCTACAGTTACACATTGCTTAAAATATTACAATATGACATTTACTTCAGCATCCTAAGTAGCCATCTTACAGGAAGTTTGTAATATTCCTATATTGTTTTTAAAGAGGGGAATTAATCTGGAGTTTGAGTAATTTCCACCTGGACTAGATGGAACGTTCTACTATAAAAAAGAAAAAAACTCTATAACTTAGAAAAATCCTTCTCGTAATATTATAGAATATATTTCAATAAATTATAACATTGTCACTTATAATTGTACTCATTCATTCACTCACTCATTCATTTATTCATTCCACTAACATCTTTGCCAACTGTGAATAGCACAGTGTATTAGACTATAGTATTCTTTGCTATGCAAAATGTCCATAATATTCCATTGGTTCTAAGAGCATCTTGTAGCATTTTAATTATATCCATTAATATTTGAACATTTTATTAGATTTTTAGTCATAAGGAGGATCATGATAGATTCACCAAGATTTCAGTTTAAAAATGATTCAGGATTCAGATTAAATAAAGTATTATTTGTGAGGTCCTTAAAGTGCTTACAAAAGGATTATCATAAAGATTTCTCTTTTGGCTTCTGACCTCTCCATTGCTTTGTTGATAAATAAGTTCATTTAAGGACATATTCTGCCCATTTAACATGTGTATAACAGGCAGCCTTCTACATGTTAAGATTTTAAGTTTACTAATCAGCTTCTTTCCTATCACCTTCCCCCAATTCCAAACCTAACCCATCCTCACTGATGACTGAAATTATGTCACCAGGTTTCTTACTTTAAGGTCATATATCTTGTTAAAATGTAAACATCTCTGAAATGTGCCTCTTATTTAAAATTTAACATATTATGTATTATTTGTCATTTTTAAGTCTTGTATGAATGAGTTTAGCAGGGAGAAGAGGTTTTGAAGAATGAGAGGAGAGAGAAAGGTGGGTAGCAGCAAGTCTCTTTCTAAGGGAGGGAATTCAGATGTGGAAACCAGGGAAGCTAAAGCCAAACATGGATTCCTCAGACTTGCCACCACCGGACCTCAGGGCTTTAACTGCAATGGTCAGAGTCCTTGGGGTCTCATAGGAATCAATGCTCCATATTGCATCACCTCCTTAACACACATTGAGATATTCTAATCTCAAGTGAAAAACAAAATACATTTGTTTCTTTGCTGTGCTGGTCACATATGTCCTGGAAATCTGACACATTAGTCATTTATGGATTCTGACAAGAATCAGGTGGGCCAACACAACTACATAAATCCCAGTTCCATCCCCATAAGAACAAACAAAACCACAAGTCTACTAGTTTATTTCCAGACAATTACAAATTAGTTGTCCCACCTTGACAAGATAGGAATCTGACTACTCAAAACATGCTGCGTTGTAAAGCAAAGACATGGATGAATCCTGTGTTTAAAAAGTGAGTGTGTGTTGAGAGGATGGTATGCTCAGGCAGATGTGCACACTTCTTTGTTCATGTGTTGTAAATACAATGAATGCTGTTGCGGAATACCTTTTCTTTATTTTTATTACTATCATTATTTTTAGAGACCGAGTCTCCCTCTGTTGCCCAGAGCAGTGGCACAACCATAGCTCACTACAGCCTCCAACTCCTGGGCTCAAGTGATCCTCCTGCGTTGGCCTCCAGAGTAGCTAGGACTACAGGTGTGTGCCACCACACCTGGCTAATTTTTTAAATTTTTTGAAAGAGCTGGGGTCTCACCATGCTGCCGAGGCTTGTTTCAAACTACTGGCCTCAAGTGATCCTCCTGCCTCAGTCTCCCAAAGTGCTGTGATTGCAGGTGTGAGCCACCACACAAGGCCCTTTTATTTCAGCTGTGATCCTAGGATATGGCTGTATGAGGTTGATTTAGCTTTTGTTCCAGAACTACTTTGAGAATGTAAATAATCTTTCTCTTGAAATTCATCACCTTTTTAGAACCTGTGCATTCATTACCAAGGTATGAAGCAGTGTCTTCCAATTTCTTTTTCCTATGTTTGCCAATAGTAAGATTAATTTTGAAATGGGTTTACCATGGGTCAAATAGTATTGCTTGTAGCAGAGCCCTAGCCATGATACAAAAGGAAATCTACTTCTCACTTTTGCAAAGTAAGATGATCTGTCTTGCAGGTGGAAGACGTGCTGGCTTGAAGATAGCATTGCAGTTTGCAAATAGGGCATGCTAGGCCAGGGGTTGTGCCAGCATAGACTTTCTTTCTGCTCTAGGTGCCAAGCGAAACCAATGGAATTTTATAATTTTTGCTCTTCTGTTAAATTTATGCAGAATTATAAATGATACTCAACCAATTTCTCCTGTAGGTGTAGTTTTTGTCAATCTCTTAGCTGGAATGAGAAAGAATAGCAGCCCTATAAGTAAAGCAACAGTTGAATCTGTAGCAAAACCAGGGTACCTGTAAAAGGGACAAATACGTATATTAAAAATAGCATCAAGAATTTAAATGAGCTAAAACACCAATTTTGCTAATAACATATCAGTAGTAGGTTATTATCAGTATTAGGTGGTGTAGGTTATTTATTCTCGATAATCTGCCCTAAAATATATGGATTCCCAATTAAATGACATAACACTAAAAACAATAATCTCAGACCGTAGTCCTATTGTTCCCATATGTCTCTTCTTATTTTCAATACCACGTATACATATACTGACATACTAGGCCAAAGTGGCAAATTTCCCTTTTAGATAAGCTTACAATTTGTTAAACAATTTCTTCTTTGAATTATTTAATTTAATTATATTGATCAAGATTTGAAGTTGAAACATTGCTAGAGCAGAGAAAGCCCCATGTAATTGATTTATAGCATCCTTCTATTAAATTGTGGCAAGGCATGCTGTTTCTGTGATCCCCTAAAACTCTTCTATAAATTGTGAAAAGGAATTGATCTGTTTTCTGAGATATCACACCTGCTTCTGTGGTTATAGGCTCTAACTATATCATACAAATGAAAACAACCTACTTAATGCTTTGTACAACATGAAATTCAATCAAGAATATTAATTGTTGGAGTGGTTTAGCCAATGCTCACAAACGATCACCGTATAAATTAAGGCTGATTCAGGAACAGACGGGGTCTTAGAATCACCAGACCGTTGTAACAAATAAGACAGGTTCCCAGAAGTCTCAACAGTAAAGAACCTGGAGACCAGGTGTAACTGAAACAGGTATTAATAATTATAATTTAGTTTTAAAAGTCAGCAATATTAACTAGTGCATTTCTGTAGCCTGAGAAGAAATATGTACCATGCTAAAGATTCTTTTACTATCTTGTAACTCAGTAATGTGTACACACTACAGAAGCTTCTCTACTTCTATAATTTACTTGAAAAATCCAAAAAGCCAAACAAATGCTGTATCTTTCTCAATCTAGCAATTTTTAAAGCAGTCTACTTTCTTTAAGTATAGACACATTTTCTTTCATTATTAGTTAAAAATCTACCTTACCATAATTTATCCTACAAACTGGACCGATACTTATAATTTTATTATACCTTGTTTCTTTTATTTCAGTATAATTTTTGGTTGAATGTTTGGCAAATTGGGCCAGGCATCATGTAACCAGATTTTGTTTTATATAAAAAGACACATTGAAATCAGTCCAGGTACAAACAGATGGAATGAAAACATTAGGTGGTAGCTATAAATATTGATATATCATGTTAGCTTTAGAAATTCTTAATGCCTGAAACTCTACATAACAAATATATCCTACAAAATATATACATTAAATTAAATCAAGGCATAAATACTGAAATAATTTATTTTCAAAGTACTTTAAAATTATTCTTATCATATTATAACTTATATTTAGTTTGTCAGGAAAGCAGTTAGTTTGTCTCAGCATTAGAAACTATTAAGCTTATGCAAATTTTATTTGTTTTGGGTTTGTCAATTAGATTTATATTTTAAAATCCCATCCTCTCTCAAACCTTTGTTCCTTTCCTATTGTTTTCTCTCAGAATTGTAGGTGGCATGAGTGCCTGCTCATAGCCAATACACTGCTTTCCTTCTACAAACAAAACATCTCCTGTTTCTTCCTATAAGAAACAGAAATTAGAAGCTGATTATATTGAATTTCCTATTGGGATTTCTGCCTGGGCTTTATTAACTATCATCTGATTTCATTTAATTCTTACACACTGGTGTTTAGATAAAGACTCTCCCTGTCTAGGATGACAGAAGTTGGATTTTAAAAGGGGAAAGCATTATTTTTTATATTGATCTAGATCCTACCATAAAACCACAAAGTACTAATTAAATATTACATAATAATTTGATTTAAATAATTGGATATCTAAACCTCTCAAAAAGAGAAGTTTTATTTCTGAGGGAATCAAACAGTTTATAAAAATGAAGCCGATCCTTTAAAACATACCACCATATTGCATTGCTTGACTTGTGCGGTCATTAGGAATTTGGATTCAGACTTCGCACCCTTTAGAAACATTGGCAATGCCTATAAAACCAGAAGGTTCTGATTCAAGGAGGGAAGAAT